GACAATATCTTACATCGACATGATTTTACTCAGACATTACGCTACTTCGACAACACAGACGAGGTGTTTCTTAAAAAAATCTTTGTATTCAAATGAAAAATCATCATTACAAACCCACGTAGGAAATGGTTTCTTATTTCGATCAAATGTAACAAAAAAAGGACAACATTATGTAATGGGAAATTTATTTTATTGAAATACAGAGTGTTTTTTAAAATGGGATAATATGGGGAAATCCGAAACCATAGAAGATACAAGGAAACTATCTTATATATATATATATATTGTTATATATATATGTTTATATATGTTTATATATATATGTAAATATATATATATGTTTATATATATAATAATGGGGCTGGCTCCGCAGCTGAGCTGGCGGAAAGAATAAAAATTAAAAAGTGCCAGGATCTCGGCTCCACTACCTATTTACAGCCTTTGGAGTCGAAACCCTTGGTCCGTTGGGTTCCAGTGCGCTTATTCTGTACAAAATTTTATCCAAAAAATTAATAGACTGACTGGGAAACCCAAGGGCCTGCAGCTACCTTGCCCAACGCACTAGCATAGCAATACCAAGGCGGGAACGCTGCCAACATCTTGGGCACCTTGCCGCGGGGACTTAGTTTAACTTTTCCTTACCTGTATATTATCAAAATAAAAAATATATATGTATATATTTTGAAACATATTATTAAATACATTTTGAATTACGTACAACAACCTTAAAGAGCAAAACGAATCACTTCCACGGATAATGGTCGTCCATTGCAAAAGCTGCATAAAAAGTAACCTACCGTATAAAGTTTCGTTTTTTATATTATAATAGTTCCTAACCAAAACCAGCCATTTGCTATTCTTACGTATTCGGCGCACCGGTGGTGGCCTGGCCGGTGGTCGGTCCCGGCGAACCGGCAATCATAGTACGCAACGTTACTTTCCCCGACATGCACTGCTACACACGTGTGCGCGTGCACTAACGTACAAGCTGTAGCGAGAGCGGGAGCGGGAAGCAGAAAGCCCAATCTCACGTACACGTCGCGCAACATACGTCTACACTTTTGTTTTGTTTTACCTATATCAAATTACTAATAATTAGTCATAAAAATATTACGAACTACGTTAGCATAAAAAAGTTATCATCTAATTTCGTTCGTAAATTCTTTTAACCTATCTCCTCAAATGTGAAGGTGCGATATAAATATTCCATGTTCTTCTTATTAGAATATAATTTTTAGTATAAATATGTTTTTATTGTATGTTCCCTAAATTTGCAAGTACCTTTATTTATTTTTGTTGTTATTTCTTGGTTTTATAATAAACACACTGGCCTGTTTATTTTAATAAATGTAATACCAAATAAGTAATTTAGTAGGTAGTTTAGTAAATCCATGAAGTGTTTTAGTGTATATGATATACGTTTAAATATTCTTTACAATTCCTTTTTGCTCTATTTATCATTTCTCACTCTGTTTGTATGTCTCTACCTGTTAACATTGAGTGTTTTTACCACTGCATAAACCTATTCTTATTTATTTTGTAAACGTTATACGTAACTGTGATAGGAATGCAAATTCACTCTTATTATAGACCAAGAATGGGATTAATAGAGCAAACAAAAAAGACGGTCATAAATCATGAGGAATGGAGGAAGCGACACCAACGAGAGAATATATCTTAAATATGAGAATGATAACACATGTTAACAACATTAAACGATAAGTTTTAGTGGCAGAATATAGCTACCAGTGAAAAAGGAATTTATTATTTCTTGGTGTCGTTTGAGAAAAGTACTATATATACCTCGACGGGAACGGGGATTGCCTGACTCGCACTTTTAATAGTTTCGAGTATATAGTCATACTCGTCCGGCAAACCCTTACTATAGCAGTAGAGTTCCTTGTAGGAACAGTAAAGCTCCCTATGAAAGAGTTCGTCTATGGAAGTACTGCCACCTTACTTATTTCTGCCACCAAGCAGTAATGTGAGAATTACTGCGTTCCGGTTTAGAAGGTTAAGGGTGAAGTTACAGGCACGTGGTACTTTTCAACTCATGATCACTCAGATCTTTGCGATTTAAAGCTCTGTTTAGCACTGCAGCTGTTGTGAACAGGCGTGTCATTTACCAGCAGGCGCGCGGCTCGTTCGTCCCATCACTTGGAATAAAAAAAAATCGTATTCTGCAACTATACCACAATAATAGAAAACAATTGGCCTTGATATAGTTTTAGCTTTTATCACATTTAGCATTTATATTCCAAAAAACAAACACTGAATATAGTAAATTTTTTCAATACTCGACGGTAGTAGGTAAATATTTAATGCTGGACTGCCACGCAGAAGTTGGGGGTTCGATTCTCGGGCCGGGAGAAATATTTATGTGGTCTACATTTATTTCTCTCGTGAGTTTGGGTGTAATTTGTGGTTGTTTATGTGCGTGTCCATGGCACTCTAGATATAGAGTTTCCCTCGTGCGGGGCTATGACGATGTGCGTTATTAAATCGCTCTAAGCTCATAGCTTGAAGGCAGCCTCATTTGGTAGACAACAAACGCACAATGGCTAAATAGCGAGTAATTACTGGCCACGATGCGGGTTACAAACCTCTCCTCCATATTTCACTACCAACCTTCGTATTAAATTGAATTGACTTTAGAACCTGCGACCGCCGACCGTGCTCACAGACTAAACACGGAGTGCTTACATCCTCTATAAATGCAAATTTAAAGTAATCTACACTATGGAAAATTGGCATTAAACATTTTTATTTTTTGATAATCACAGAACAAAAAATATACGTTACACAAACTAGTTCTTTCAATTAGAAAAATAAAATCCGACAGTTAACTAATTATTATGTGACACGCAGTGACATGCATTTTAAATTTTTCGTGAACATATTACAATTAAATATTTTTTTCACAAAAACTAAACTACATGATTGATTCCTCCTTTGTTTTGTTTTTTTATATAAAATATAGAGAAACTCCTTTTGAGGAGAGTCTGCATCACGAATAGAGTAGCAGTGGAACTCCTTTTAAAAGAGTTCTTTCAGAGAAAGAATTGAATATTTGAGAACCTCACAAACACACCCACAAACACCCAGACCCGAGACAATGTAGAAAAGTTACTCTTTCTACACTACCGGCCCGGAGGTCGAACCCGGGACTTCAGAAATGGCGATACCGTGAAAACTGGTGTTCAAGTCACGCGACCACGGAGGTCACCTTAAGGAAGTACTGCCACCTTAGCTATTTCTGCCGCCAAAAAACTTTCGTTGATTTTGAAAAATAAGGGTGCTGTTGAAATGACGGGCACATGGTACTTAAATACTTTCAAGTTGGGGACAGGCGCAGTGGCAGTGTCCTTTAATTCTTTACGATTTAAAAGCTCTGAGTAGCACGACAACGGTTATGGACAGGCATGTCGTTTACCACCAGACGCGCGATTTCTTATTGATATCAAAAAAAAAGAATGCCTGTTTAATCGATTTCGTACGTAATTTGCTTACTTGTGAAAAACTAAATTTTGAATTTTTTTTTAATGTATAATTTATGGTAACGTACTACCAGTTTGAATTATTTCCAAATTTTTGACTTATAAAATACGGGAATGCCAAAAATTAAAAAATATTATTGAATGTGATATTAATCTGATTGCTATTTGCTTACATTTATATACTATAGAAAACAATGAATATTTGAAATATAATTCATCTTTACTTTTTAAATTTACTTACAACTATCGATCATACTGAATTATTTCAGATTTGTCAATATATAACCTTTGTAAGTAGGAATTCCTTTTTCTCATTTTTATTCATAAGCAACTATATTAATTACAAAAATTAAATTAATAATAAATAATTTTCCTTTCACGTCATCGATTTCGATCTCCCGTAAGATCATTCTTAAAAATCTATTAAACTTTCTGAATTCTTTTGACCTAAATAGTATTTAAGTACATATATTGTGTTTCCTGGTGTATGGTGGATGTAGACACCAAGAACACATAGTGAAATCATACTTTATGAGGTTTTTGGTTCGCGACGCAATAACTGCGCTGACTTGCAAGTTACGTACAAAGACGTGGAGTTACGGAAATGCAAAAAAAGGATTTCTATTCATCTTTGTATTCGGAAAATTGGAAAAAAATTACGCACGACGTAGTGACAGCTTGATTAATGATATTTTACAAGTAACAATGTAATAGTACCCACCTGATTTAGTTAAATTTAAATTACTATACTTCGTCTCGCCCTAAAACGTAACTTGAAACAGGGTGTCATAAAAGCATGGTACAATCTGTTGCATTATTGTAATAATAATAACGCATACACTCAACATAGGGAACTAGGGAAAACCCTGTGTCGCGGGTGCCATGGACACATAGACAACCACAAATTACACCCAAGCTCACGAGAGAAATCAATGTAGGCCATGCAAATAATTCTCCCAACCCGGGAATCGAACCTGGGACCTCTGCGTGGCAGTCATGGCATGATAACTGTTCAGCCACGGAGGCAGTTAAAATTGTAGCGTTCATAGCTTCCAAATAAATATTTCATCTTCAGCCTATTGGCACGGACACGGATCCCCCAGGCGACTGTTTACGCCATAGTCCGCCAATTGGTCAGTCCAACTTTACACGTTTTCGAAGGGTTGTGAACCTTCTTCAATGTGCAGTTTTCATCACGATGTTTTCGTTTGCCCAAAAGATCATGGTAAATTTCAAATTAATTTTCGCACATAAATTCTAAGAAACTCAGTGATGTTAATCCGGATTCGAACCCACGGCCTCTGCTTGAGAGGTGGTAGGTCAAACCATTACGCTACCACGACTTTACAATATTTATATTTATATATATGTTTTTGTTTGAAAGTTAATATTCCAGATCCACTCCCAGTGCAGAAGTATCCTTGAATTGAAAGAAATATAGTCCTCATTAGAATATATACTACAATTCAATTTGGATAATCATTCGTTTCCCTTCTTTGCCAGAGCGGTGCCAACGCCGAAGAGAAACCGTGAGAAGTCATTCGCGATCCTCGCAGATACTGTCTCCAGACCATCTAGCCCAAGATCGCTGCCTACCGAGGTACAGAGGGAAAGAACGTCGCCGTTCAAGGGTGAGTGGAGGCCTTTTATTACCAGCCAAACGGAAACGACGCCTATCATTTAGTAAAATAATATCTGTGTATCCAAATGTATGCAGAAGAACCAGGATTTTTGTATACCAGTATATATCTACCGTACAGTGTTCAAAAGTGTTGTCTGACCAGATATTTCGGATGTCGCTGGTGATGTGCTTTAATATTACAAACGCAGGGTGAAAACTCCCATGTGTCAATTTTGTATGATTCAAAATTCTTTGACCTCTTATACTTAGAAAGTGCAAAAATGATTGCCACTCAAAAGCAATTACTTCTTCCTAAAATCCTGTTAATAAATAAAGTATTTAATAGTACTATTATGTTTCTGATTTTGAAATATAAAAACGCATCACTCTTACTAAGTTTCACTCAAAATGTTTAGTCTGACAGAACTTTTGAACCCACTATAATACGTGCTTTTATCAGTGCGTTACATATTAACGGCACACATTCAATGCCTTTCAAAAATGAACACATGTACAATAGTGTCAATAAATTAAAGCATTTTTCCTAGGTCGAGGCTTCAGACAAGAAACATCCCGTCACACAACACCTAAAACATCAGCTGCCAACTCCCGATCGACATCTCCGAGGAGACGAACTAGCTCTCTCTCCGGAGTTGACGACATGGCCACTGCTGCTCTGCCCCCACCCCTACCACCGGTTCATACTATCAGTAGACCCCACTCACCTAGAAACTTCCTCAAAGAAAATATCGAAGAAGTCAGAGAGCTAAGCGAATTAAATAGAGAAAAGCATGAGGCTGAAGCAGAACAAAAAAGGCTGGAAGAAGAAACTGCGTTGCTCAAAGAAATGGGTCTACTAGACATGCATGCTAAGAGTGACGCTATTAGAAGTGTTGTATGTTCAAGAAACGCATCGAGAAGCAATTCTCCGAACAAAATTAAACTGAGATCCAGATCTAACTCTCCTAATGCTAAAATCTTACCTTCAGCGATATTACATTTTGAAAATATTTCAAGCGATAGTAGTGAATACATCAATGGCGACGACGGTATGGCCCCTGTGACGCATAACTCTAGGGTCAGATCTGTGTCAAGGTCCCAACCTCAATCAAACGATGGATCCCCAAAACATTCCAAAATTCCTAAACGACAAAGCTCTGTATCTCCATCTAGAAAAAGAGACAAGTCAAATTCCCAAAAAGTCGAGAACAATTTGAACAGAAATCAAAGGTTCATTTCAAACAGTACTAGCAGCATTCATGAAACTATAAGAATTGGGAGCCAAAACCATGACAAAAAGAATATGAGCAAGAGTACTCAGTTGTTGAATATTGGGCCTGCACATATTAAAGGAAAACCTCCAATATCTCCTGGCAGGGGCGGCCCACCTCCTTCTAACAAGAATATCAATCCGAAAAGACTCTCTCCCATTGTCGGCACTCCAAATAAGAGCCCTATCGAAGATTATAAACCAGGCTCAGCACGAACGTCGATTAAAGCTTCTCCTGTCGCTAAAAAGCCTATAAAAACGGCCGGCAACACCCCTGCTACATCTAGATTAAATTCTAGACAGCCTAGCAGAAACGTTAGCCGAGATTCAAGCCCTGAGAAACGTAAAACTTCAACTAGAACTTCCTCTATTAAAACTGTTACTAAACCTGTAACTAGAGCAGCTAGTACTAGGATGACTCAAAAACCACCTGTTCCAAAAACTGAACAAAAAAAGCCTATCAATCGAACGAACAGTATGAAAAGTCTAACTAGAACTCCAAGTATGAAGACTTTAAACGAAAAACCGCCAATGCTGAAGAAACGAGATAGTAAAAAGGATTTGAAAGCACAATCGACTAGCAAAATTGACGAAGTTGGAGTTAAAAAAGAATCTGCTAAAAATGAGAAGAAATCCCCGGTGAAAACCGAAAAAGGCAAGAATATTACCGATAAAAACACATCTAAATCTAGCATTAAGGGAAATAAGAAAGATAAGGAACAAGAGAATGAAGAAGTCAAGAAAACTATTGAATCCACGGCTGTTGGAGGTGATGAAGTGACAACACAGGATAATGAAACTCAGTACGACAAATTAACTAACGAAAAAGGCGATCTTATAATTCTTACCAAGAAAAATATTGTGTCAATGACAACGGCAGCAATTACCTCACAGCCTTTAGAAGTGGTAACTAAAGTTACTAATCAGTTACCTACAGTTTTAGAGAAAGCTAGAGAGAAAGGCATTTTTGAAAGGAACAGCTCTAAAGACTCTCTTGCTCCGAAAGAAGACGACAGACAGCAAACTAAGACAGAAGAGAAGAAAGAAACATCAAAAGAAAAAATTGAGGAAGAAAAATCTGACTTACATAAAGCAAAACCACAAGCTATGACTTCTAAAACTAACGCTACAAACCTACCTGAAGATAACGTGAAACTAAAACCTCTTTTACCACCGTACAATAACCCACAAGTAGAAAGAGTTAAACAAAGAATAGATGACATTTTAAAATCACCTGAAGTGTCTACAGAAAACATTATCAACACACCCACTCCACCACCAAAGCTCAAAACGTTTAAAAACATAGCTGACAGAACCAAAAATGACATTAAGGATTCTAAAGATGAAACGACTAATAAATTTATGAATCTAAAAAACCAAATGGAGAAACAGAAAGTTGTAACAACAACAGAAGAAATTCGTACAGAAGCAACTAAAATAGTTGAGAGTATTATAACTCCTGTTGAAGAACCGAAAGAGGCAGAGAAACCTGAAAACCCTAAAGAAAAAGTAAAAAAGGAGATAGAACCTATAGTTATGGTTGTAAATGAGAAAACAAATAGTCCAAAAGCAGAAGTAGTTGAAAAAGTAACAGAAACATTAGTCAAAGGTGAACCTGAAGTGGAGGTACAGAGCTCTAACATATCCACGCCGGGCGTTGAGAAAATGACGATACAAAACAAGATGGCGGATAGCAATGGATCGGATAAATCAAACCAGAGCAATGGCGGGTGAGTTAAATAGTTTGTCTATTACGAAATATTTGTCTAATTAAAGTACTAATTCATAATTTTTGTTTAATAACTTCTTCAACACTGGTGTCGACTACACCCATACACTATCGAATATCATACGTTTAAGTATTATTTACAAATTCTTATATCCGTACTGCAACCGCCTAATCAGTCCTGGATTTATAAATAGGCCGTATAGGCCGCGGCCTAGGGGCGGCAGCGTCCTAGGGGCGGCAGATTTCAGTGGAGACAAAAGTCAAACATGTTCACTGGGTTTCTCACGGTTTTTTATACCTTAAATAAATCCCTATATTTCTATAGGGATTTATTCCATCGAAACCTATATTATCGCGTGTATAGAAAGGTATGTACATGGGGCGGCGGAAATAAAGTGGCCTACACTCATAAAAAATATAAATCCGGCTCTGCGCCTAATGCAATATATACATATCCTGTAATTTTCGTACGTTTATATGGAATGTACGTATTGTATTCAATCAATTTTACTTGAAATCAAATTGCAATATCAAATTCCAAATTACAAAATAAAACTCGTTTTTATTAAACAACATCACTGTAAATACCTAATAAGATGAATGTATTTATTAGAGCAAACCGAGGAAGAAGATTTGATACATCTGAGTAACCATTGCGTCACTTCCTCTTGTTTTTAACCGACTATGAACTCAAAAATAATGGGATTTCTTATTATTTGTATTTGCCGTAAGCTGGTTGAACAAATTTTATGTGAATTTCGTCATTAATGTACTTTTGCTAAAGGAGCGGTAGAGGAGAATAACGAACCTATTTTGAAAATAAAAAGTTTGGATAATAACAGTACGAGACCATTAGAATCTCACACAAGATATCTACTTAGCTTGTCGATAAGGTCCCTGCAATAAGAATAAATACAAATCATGCTAACAACAATTTTGAAATAACAGATTATGGCGTCGTACTTAATTTCGTACCTTATAAATCACATGGGATCATATGTCAAAAGAATTTTATCCCATGAAAGTCGTAAAAATAATATAAACACATGTAACAAATTAACATAATATATTGTGTTAAATTTTATAACCCTCCTAATTAAGCATAAAAAGTAATCGACTTTTTTGGTTCGTAAAACCTTGAAAATTCTCTCTTGAAAAATAGTTTTTTTTACTAGTATGGCCTTATTAGGGGTGCGTATTATTGCGTTTTTACGTAACACTCTGTACAAAAGGATAGTTAATTCTAATTCCAGACGTTGGTTGGAACTTGTTCCTTCGAGACGGTTTCACTGACTGGTTTCAAAACCACTTGAGTATTACCCAAGTGGTTTGATGCACAAAATGAATAACAATTTGTATTAAATAAACAATTGTCCCTTGAGGTTGAGTTTTCACTTCAGTGCGATTATAGTAAAGTTGAAAGTATTGTAACCGACTTTGAAGAGGCAGGTGTTCTATGCGCCTCTGTATTGTTTATATTTTTATATCATGCAGAAAACAACAAGTCAGAACAGTTCACTGGAACTCTGAAAACAGGTTAAGTCATTAAACCATGTTGAGACACGTGAACAATGTTTAAAGCTGTAGATCAACCACGTTGTCGCTCAAAAAGTACTCGGCGTTAGATAGAGGCCATAACTAAAACTATAAATACAATTTTCACTACAAAATGCTTCGAATTGAGTCAATGTGTTAGCCTGTGACTTGAAGACCCTTCCACTGGAGTAAACCCGAATTTAGACCACGAAACGTTACACATCAAAGTGAACATGCAGTAGATTACCGATACTTTTCAATAATTACTGTACACAAACGGTATGTAACCAACTTCGTTGACTAAGTATGACTGTCTTAGCCCTGAAAAGCCGTCAACTGTTTCAACGGCGTTTATACGAACGATTCATGCTACTTTAACGTGAAACGTGCCTTACTTTTTAGAACAGGGATGTATTCAGAAACAGCACATGGGCATCCCGAACAAAGTAACTACTAAACACTATTCCTGTTTACCAAGCTTTAAACTCGGTGAAGAACTGGATGCAAATCTTTACGTAACGTGGTCACTATTTGTAATGAACAATTGATAAGTTACTGAAAAGAAAAAATACCATGGTAGCCTAATCATTTGACCTACTGCCTCTCAAGTAGAGGCGCGTGAGTTCGTGAGTCCAGCCTTTGAGTTTCTCGGAATTTATGTGCGAAATTTAATTTGAAATTTACCATGAGCTTCTCGGTGAAGGAAAACATCGTAATGAAACTTGCACGTCGAAGAAGGTTCACGTGTGAAGCCCCCAACCTGCATTGAGCTAGCGTGGAGGACTATGACCTAAAATGTTACCTGAAAGGAGACCCGTACCCGGCAGTAGAACATATAAATGACTTACTGATGATGATGATCAAAAGAAAAATAGCCCTCAACTTTTTTCCCGTAAAACGGATTAAGATACATTGACATCACAACGAAAAACAGTTTCTTTCATAAAATGCGCACAATAAAATTATAATTCTTTTTACTGTTTACTTCAAGACTAACCTACAAGTCAGTATGTATCGTATACGACACGTTCGTTTCGTCGTTACTTACGATTATTTATCGGCTTGCATTCGGCCAGAGTAAAAAAGAGAACTCGTACTGCATGAGATCTTGATACTTTGGGGCCCGCTGTTTACTCTCGGGAGGTCCCTTAGTGCCTCAGGAGGGTAGTACTTGAACGGTCAGCGTATCGAGCGACCCGTGGCGTGACCAGCCGTGCTATTAGCATATACGAATACACTCAGGGTTGCCAGCCAAGAAAATCATTACTTAAAATATAAAAAAAACATTATTATTGCCTTGAAGAAAATAAAAGAACCTGTAACATTTTATTACATAAGTTGTTTATTAGTTTAACCTCTGAGGTCACTAACAATGTTACCTAGCTATCACTTATTATAAAAAGAAAAACACATTGGACACCTAAATTTTTTCACAAAAGTTTATACTCTCCAAGACACCTTAAGAAAATCCGTGACTATTAACCGAGTGATATACAGTGTGGAAATTTGTAATGCCACCTGGAGGAAAAGTACTCTAAATACTGAAGATAGAAATTTTTACTTAAAGGAAACATTCCTTTATTTTTTAAAAGAAATAAAACTGCATTCATAGATTTTCGAAAATTTCTAGCAACACGCGGGAATCGAACCCGCTTTAATCTGAAAAAAATGCACCCTGCACATTTATTGCATCGATCGATAGAGTTAATTATAAGAATAAAATCTCTCTCACAAAATTGGTTAATTAAATGAAAAAAAAACCATGAAATCTTAACGTATTCAACCTTCAATTCGTTTACACTCGCATAGGATTTAAGAACTGAGTTAAATGTTTTATCCGAGGAAGAGCGAAATCGAATAATTCTGCAACAAGATGGCGCTCCAGCCCATAACAGCAGAGTCAGTACTGTCTACATTAACCAATTTTGTGAGAGAGATTTTATTCCTATAATTAACCCTATCGATCGATGCAATAAAAGTGCAGGGTGCATTTTTTTTTCAGATTAAAGCGGGTTCGATTGTCGCGTGTTGCTAGAAATTTTCGAAAATCTATGAATGCAGTTTTATTTCTTTTAAAAAATAAAGGAATGTTTCCTTTAAGTAAAAATTTCTATCTCCAGTATTTAGAGTACTTTCCCTCCAGGTGGCATTACAAATTTCCACCCTGTATAATAGTAATAAATAGCTCAAAGTCACTCAATGAGCTATGGAGCGAGCAATGCTCGGCATTTCTCTACGTGATCGAATCAGACATGAGGAGATCCGTAGAAGAACGAAGGTCACCGACATACCCCAATGGATTAGCAAGTTGAAATGGCAGTGGGCAGGGCACATAGCACGTAGAACTGACGACCGTTGGGGCAGAAAAGTTCTCGAATGGAGACCACGAACCGGAAGACGTTCAGTGGAACGGCCCGCTACTAGTTGGCGGATGACCTGGTAAGGGCGGCGGGTAACCGACGGATGCACATTGCACCCGACCGGCTAGTCTGGCAATCTTTGGGTGAGGCCTATGTTCAGCAGTGGACGTCTTCCGGCTGATATGATGATGATATAATAGTAAAGAAACAATACATGTATATCTCATTTTGAATATAACAGACTATAGCTTTAATTTATGTAGCGTCATCAATTTCCCACAAATTTTCGTGAAGTCATTAGATAGTTCGATACGACGAGGTCGATCGCTTACCAGAATTACGTTTAATACACACTTAATTTCCGCTGCGGAGGTAAATTTATACAACCTACGTACCTACTAAGTGGGCTTCTCAATTGATGTGCCTAAAAGTATACGAAGTACGTGTTTTAAAAGTCAAAAAGCTACACTTTATTAATCAAACTGTGGCTTTATCAACAATAAGCCAACCACAAACTCTTGATCCATCTTATCGCAGATAATGCCTCTACTGCCTATCAATAAGCTCCACAGTAAACTTAAAGTGCTTCTGAAAAGCGATAACCTTTAAAACAACAATGTCCTTTCGTGCATATATTGTCATCACTAAAAAAACCGACCTCAAAAGTCATTCATCCCCTAATTTGCCATCTTTAGCGGTGGAATGTTATCTTGAAATTTAAATGGGACCACTACGGAAGTACCCTCTTTCCAACAAAACAGAACCATCAAAATCGGTTCACAAATACCGGAGCTACGCGTAACATGCATACAAGAAAGACATAATGTGAGTACCTCCTCTTTTTTTGAAGTCTTTTAATTTGAATTGAATTTGAATTGTTAGACAAGCATAGTTTTTAAACATTAGCGAAATATGTAAGCATTCGTGTACGTAATACATTTTATACATTGTACATAGTTAGCTGTGAAGGTGAAGGTACGGAACGTATATCAGTAAAATTGCAATGTGTAATAAATAGTGACAAATACACACTCTGAAATATCTATAGCCGCCTCTCTTGAGGCGTCAGAAACGCACTTACAAAATGGCGGCAAACAGCAAGCTTTGTAAAATCTTACAACGTGTGTTTTCTCTGAGGATTTCATTTACAAAATTACAGTATTTGTGATATTGGAGTCCTTTAGAAACCATTTTGACAAGTGACTGAAACATTTTAATTTTGCTATCAATTAGAACTCACTAAATAAGTCTAGAGCCATTTCTAGAGATCGAATTTATAATCGAGACACCTTCTTGTGTACATATTACATGAATAAAAGCTGGTGGCTTCTTATTCTACAAACCATTTTTGACACTCTAAAACGATCGAAAACATTTTCGATTTCTGCGTTATGTGTTATATATAATACTTAAATTCCTAGATACCTTATTAAAAAGTATAGAAATGGATGCAAACATTTTTATTTTTATCCAAAGTACTAGAGTCGTCAATCATCTGGGGAGAGATGTGTGCCACCCCTATACATAGTTTACTAGTAGAAAACAATCTTATGTTTCATATACATATTTCGGTTTGTTATTAGGACGCGGTGAAAGATGTATACGATATTATAATAAATGCACAAAGTTTGAAATTCATCATTAAACCATAATGTTTGAGAAGGGGAAATAGAGAACGCGCCTCAAATTCACATTTTATACCGTTAGACAATACCAACGCCGCTGTACTTTTTATATAAAAGTACAGAAAATCTAATAATATAACTTTTTTTAATTTTATGCAATCATTATATACTTATCTCGATTTTATGTCGCAAGGTCATCGTTCTTTTGTTTCGAGATGCCTACAGCAAGCGCCATCTGTTGATGAGTACAAGAACTTTTTAAGCACGAAATTGTTCTGGCTTTTCACTTCGTATAGCTGTATAATCTTGATTCACAATTAAATTGTAATAAGTAATAATAAATTTTGTAAAGTATATTGAAGGTTAGGTTAGGTGTATTAGGTTAGTAGCAGTAGAGCTCCTTGTGATAGAGTTCGTCCAGAAAGGTACTTCCACCTTACCTATTTCTTTCGTGAAGCAGTAACGTAAGATCTTTGCGATTTAAAGCTCTAAGTGGCGCTGCAACTGTTATGGGCAGGCGTGTCGCTTACCACCAGGCGCACGGCTTGTTCGTTCCATCATTTGGTATTATAAAAAAAGGTTAATTGTTGTCATAATTTCTTTAAATGGAGGCCTAAATAGGTTTGCTAAAACCTGTGCAATACTGGACTGGTAAATAATCCGTTATGTTAGTGGGCTTATTTATCCCTGGAACCGCTTAAAATAAATACACTGAACTTTCAGTATGAAAATATTTCTGCAAAATTGTCGCTAGGAGCGCGGTAAAATGATTATCAACCTATTCAGTCTCTAATAATCTCAGGGTAGTACAAAAAACAACCCCAAAAGTCATTCATCCCCTTGTTGGCCACCTTTAGATGTGAAATATTTACGGAACCACTACTGAGATACCCTCTTTCCAACAAAAAAAGAATCATCAAAATCGGTTCACAAATGCCGCGGCGTTATCTCGTAACATATACACAAAAACAATACGGTATAATTGAGAACCTCCTCCTTTTTTTGGAAGTCGGTTAAAAATAACACCATAACACCATCGCGGCATGGTAGTAAAACACTATAGTGTGAAGCCAATACATTCTACTAACTAGTTTGATATTTCTGTAAACTAAACTAAAAAAAAATGCTTTTTAATTAGATAATATTTTTTAATCTATAACTCTATCACTTGTTCACGGTATGCCTTACTTTTAGAACAATGTCCCTTCTTGATTGGATCTTGACAGAGGAACTACATATTGTTTTATGCTTATAGCCGACTGTTGAGCACAGGTCGTGTTCAATGGGACGGTCTCAAACAAATCAGTTAAAAGCCTCGGGTGCCTACAAAAGACCACTCCCTCTGACTACACAAGTTTCATAGCGAAAATGGCTAAGGGTGACAACATCCTTGGGCCTCATGGCTCACGAACCGCCAATTCACCCAACACGTAACTCACTCGATTCAACCCTTAAGAAAACCAGTACGCCCCGACCCGCCTTCATAAACGCGCGTCTAGAAAAAATAATAAAAAGACGCCAATATTTTGATAATTTTTAATCTTATTCTTCTATATAATATTGAACAAGGCTGAATGTGATAATTCAGAATCTAGAAAAATAGTGTCAAAATGGTTTTGTTTTTAAAAAATAGTGCTGACAGTGAAGTAGGTAATTGAAATGATTATGATAGAGTCGATCGTGACAATTTGTGTTATAATTTAAACTGTTATTAAATATTAGGTATGATTCATAATAGGACAGTGTACATATTACCAAACGAGTTACTTCCTAAGCGGTACGACAATGATAACGGGTAAACCTTTTCGCACGAAAAGAGAATCCTTATTCTACTTTGTATTATTTTATTCTGTTATAATTGAAATTAATGTTTTTAATAGTAAGAAACTAACTGCTAACAAAGAAGATCAAAATTATTTTTGCATAAAACTACATAAAAATGGCAACTCGGCTAGGACGCGACATTTTCTTTTGCCCAAGAAACGAGAATTCAACAATGTTGAACAAAACACTGCTTAGTGCCAAGGTCTCGAGTTCCGGTGCCACAGAATATCTAATTCTGCTTCTTGTTGGCTGTCCTCAAGTTTCTTGTAGACTTGACATTGTATCATGATAGTGGGAAATTATACAGCGTGTAAAGAACAACTATTTTAATACTACAAGACTTTCATACAAATGAATTTCTTGTTTCTTTTTTGCAATACATAGCCCTCCTTATCGATTTCAATAACAGCGACCCTTTGAGAGTAGTTCCTAGCGTGTGCCTTAATATAACTCGTCATACCGAATTTGTCTTAAATGCCCGATCACAAACAGAACTATAAAGTTGGCTTGCAGAGATGAAAGTATAGGTAAAGAAGGGCTTAGGTCTCTCTCTACGTTTTTCAGTTAATGTTTCAAGTCGCTTTTGTTCCAATGTTTTCGACTTATATGACGCGAGCCTCTCCTAACCTTGAACATATCCAGCGAAGATGTTGACCACCATGCTTCCGTTATTATTCAAACACATCCAGATAATATTTTTTTATGTTAAAGGACGAATAGATCTTCCAATAACTTTTTATTTGATATAGCAGTGTACACAACGACACACGAACATTATTCAATATATCGATTACTTTATCAAAGCAACTCCATATACACACAAATTATTGTTAATTCTTGTGCTATACTTTTGAATTTTATATAGAACGCTCGCTCCTTACATCGGCGTACGTAATTAATGCAAACATAACGACGTTCACGTCACTAAATATAGGTACCATTTTGCCGCCCAGCTTGGAACCAAATCGAGATTATATGTTTCTTAATACCTAGGTACTTTCTAAATATTCATTAAGTAAGAAATAAATAAAAAATCATTTATTTTCCAAATTCTAGATACCCAGGCCAATCTACACTATTGAGGTAATTGTGGCAATTTGCCCAATGGGAATGGTTGCATGTTAAACACAAACGTTAAGGCTACAAACTTACCACGCAAATTTTATAATGCTTGGAAATTTAGGTGACAAAGTGAATCACAACTTTACGTTTAATTTAATGACATGCAAGCAAGTGTTTTATACAACACAAGAAACAAAACTAAAACATATTCAATTTTTTATCACACAGCCACACACAAGCATGAACTGTTAAGTTGAAAAAGAAATAAGTACCAAGATTTTTACCGTTACATTAATAACCGTATGTATTAATAGACGAATGTATTAACACGCTGCATTTATGCAAATACCAATAAGTTATTACACTTCACCCCTTAAAACTTCATTAAATACTCTGATGAAATTAAAACACACACCTAGAAAATCACATTTCACAAATAAAACTTTATTAGTATCAGCATAATTCAAGAACTCACGATAATGATTGATCATTTGAAAATATTTCAATTTTCAATGTTAGGTTTCCACAAAGCACCAGCACAACACCGAAACCCCCAGCGCGGACCAAAAAGGAATCAAAAGACGACTCCAAGCCCAATGATTCCAAAGAAAGTACTCCAGAAACACAAAAACCTCCAAATTTCTGTCAAAAACTCATGGGCACTTGCAAGAAGTGCTGCACTTGCTGTATCAAACCAGAAAACGATGAGAAAGAGAAGAAAGACGTGGAAGCCGCCGTGGAAGGGAAACAGAAAGGATTTATGAGCAAGTTAAATTGGTGTAAGAAGGAAGAGAAAGAAGACAGAGATATAGAGATAGCAGCAGGAAAAGTGAGTATAACACCTTTTACTTCTGTACGTGTAATATGTAAACTCTGTATATTTTTGTAAATGAGCATTGCATTGAGCCGAACGGCTTTAGACACACCGGACAGTGGCCTAACCGTTAAATCTAAGGCTGCCAACAAATGAACTACACGTCTGCAGTCGCGATCAACTGCAACCGTCAGCTGCAGTCGATGTGGACTATAGTCCGAGAAGCAGAAAATCCATTAATTCTTAAGATAATAAAATGTTTTTTTCCTGAAACAATTAGATCTTTAGCAATAACGGTAAAAGGTATCGATTACTTGAGGGCTTAATGAACTTTAATGGTAAAACAAAAACACGATTGGTGTAACTTTTCTCGGCAGATCTAAATAATTTGCAGAATCCTCAAAACATTTTCCTTTGTAATGGCACCTTTGTTTACATTTTTAATCGCAAACTCCACCTCAGATTAGCCAGCGATTACCAACATGAATTAATTGACAAATTGAACGTGATAATATCGTGATATGTGTATTAATTACCTTTACACGATTTGGGATCGTAATTGTTTTGAATGCAGTAATAAACTACAAGTAATATCTTCCATTTAATTTTCAACATCGACAAATACACTGAACTTCTGAAATAGGCGCGCGATACCTGCTTGACGGCAGTGTCGACTGCATGCTGTTGCATCAACTTCACACATGCATTCTGTCTAGTAATAACCTACGAGGAAACTGAAAACAATGTGGAATATTTTTTTAAATTTTGAAAAAGAGGATGAGAGTGATGGAATTCTTTTTTCACGTAACGAATTGGGTATATTTTTATTCATAAAAATTGAAATAAAGTTATTGGTTGGGTTTAATAAGGTCACATAAAAAGAACTAATAGTAGGTTTTGTAAGTGAAGAAAAATTACTGAATAAATGAACTTGAACAACGAAGTTTCAAGGACAGTACCGAGTAACTATGATTTCTAGCGTGAGATAGCGCAATTTAAACTTAGAGTATTAATTTTTTTTTCTTATTTCTGTCATGAACATGTTAAATATAAGCAATAGTTAGTTTCACAGTTGCACTTTCAAATAACTTTTATTATTACCGCCATTCTATTTCAAACACCATGATGGTTATTCCTTTTCTGTCTTTTACTGAACTAAGTCGTGTGTTTGCTGTTAAAAATAGTGTTGCTATTTCTCGATAAGATCACTTTAATTGTTAATTATTTTTAACAACAAAAAAAGTAGTACTGCCTCTAGTTAATACTAATATGTTATTCCGTGAATGAAGGTAAATTAATTGCCTTTGAAAATGAAACTACTCTTGCGAATCTAAATCGCATTATGTTTATTTGTCTAAACAAACCAACGTCATTGCCTTTAGGTCAAATAATAAGTGCATTATTTTCGTCGTTATTGTAAATTTCCCATGTTTGTATTGAAGAGGATGTGGTATTTAATTCAACAAGTTTAATTAAACAAAAAATCATGCTAAATGTCAAAATTCTCTCCAGGCAGCGTCAATAGAGTTCGAAAGCGAGACGAAGCGCAAACGCAAATTTCGGGACATAATGTGCGGATGCTGCGGCAGTCGGCGACGCGTGAGTGATATCCCAGACCCCCCGCGACACGTCGCTGACCTCACGGCGCCCGCTGTCGTCGGAGACACTGGCTGTTGCGGAAGCAAAAGGGATGTCGAGAGACGAGATAGTATATTGAGCGACAGACCTCCCACCACGTGAGTATGAACCTAGTTCTGAACAATAATCAAGGAATGTTTCTGAAGATGATTTTTTCCAAAAGAGACGACCCACATTGGGCGCCATTGTTATTTTCAAAGGAAAAGTACCTTATTTTCAGTCACATTGCAAGTTGTGGGTGCTTAAAATTGTACAAGCCTAACATTTACAGATTTTTTTTTATTTGGCGCAGGTGTTGCAACAATAGATTATTTACATGGATGCGAGGGACCTGCCGGAGGAATCAGTCTACAGATGAGGTTCCTGCCAGCAGAAGGCAGAGTCTTTTCTCTAAGAACAAGAGTCTCTCGCCGACATTACCGCCTGAGGTAAGCCTATTTAAGATATACAGCATATTTTGTAACAAACATGTCTGGCGCGTGCTGCCGCGTCCTGAACTGGCCGTGAGCACGTGTTTAAGAGGGCCTCTCACGCGTGGTTCTCTCACGACAGATTAGTTGGTTAGACAAGTTAAAAAATTAACCAGTTTAAGTGTACGGCCCCGTAAACGCGGCATGGTCGTATAACGCCCGTCCACCATCGCGGGGAGCTCGCTTCACGCCTGCCACACATGTTGTCATCAGCACACACTAAATAGCTCTTGTCGCGGTTCTAGGGACTTGTCGTAGTGTTTAGTAACTACTAACATATAATCTGGCAAATAAAGTTGCTTTAATCGAGAAAACAACTTTCACTGGTAACAATGTCGATGTATCTACCAACGTGAAAAGTAAAAACAAATCCAAGAATTTCATTACCATTTCTTAGTTATAATTGCCTTGTCGAAAAGGTCTTACTACAAACGAGTGTATATCGTGCCAGTAGGAGGAGTTTTGTTAAAACACCGTAAAGTAAATTAATGAATTGTAAACGAAGCATTTTAAAGAGAAAAATAATAACATATAAATAATTACACTATTGTAAAAGGGCTAGGAAGTTAGGTTTGGAAAACGTAAAAATGTAATACAACAGCGACTGGTAACATTTTTCAATTTTTATTATACAACAACATAAATTAATAAGCCCAACATTTCTTTGTTTTTTTAATATAAATACTATGTAATAATGTGGGTTAATTAAAAATAATTACCAAACGAAGATCTTATGTACAATATTTTGCGATTTAAAATAATATAGACGAAGGCAAAAAGGTCAATAATAATTGTATCGAAGTACTATAAAAATATATAAACCGCGTGTAAAAATGTACCTTACAAGTTTTGCTCAATATTTCTACGCCATATTGACCGCGACAATTTCTGACCGCTCGCATAATGTAGTCGGTAACACGCAATCTGAAATCGAAACTTGACTCACAAGGACTGTTATTTCTGACTCACCGTCAAAGCAAACTGTAATGGTGTGATGTAGAAAGTATGACCTTTGTTATTCATTAGGTTACTAATTATGGCGCCCAACGAGGGTCTGATAAATCGTATGTATGACACTTGTTAAAATTTCACGCATTAAACTTTCGCTTTGACAGATTATAATAGTGAGGTCAAATCTCAATTCATTATCGACAAAAATATAATCAAATGCGAGTCGCATCTATAAGTTTTCATATTTATATTATAACTAGTATGCAAGGGGTAGCTGATTAAAGAGTTTTAATAACACGAAAATAAAAATGTTTACTTAATATATCGTTAATTCGAAACTGCTTTGTTTTGCATTGAGCTTTGACGCGAGTTTGCCGGAGGTAGAAGTTGCGCTGGCCAGCGATCCTATAAGTGACGATCGTAAGATTTCATTTTGAAACATTCCGAATTTCGATAAACAAATGCCAAGTTGTGTCGTAAAATTACACATTTCATAAATTTTACTGTACGTGACTATTGACAACTATGTACAACAATTAGCTCCTTCAACGCAGTTATGAATTAATACGAAACTTGATGAGCGGACGAACGCCAAACCGGATGGCCGTTTATAGCGTGCCGGTACGTTAAGTATATTTATTGAATAAATCTGCATAAAACCCATACACAAGAAACAGTATTTGTAACTACTTTTGAATGTGGCGCCTTTACAACGACCATTGTAAATTGCCACTTTTTTAAACTGTATTTTTATCACTATGTAAATTTCTTATCAATAGTAGGGTTAGCGGTTACTTTTCAATTGAGAGGTCGTCAGTTTGAATCCCCCTGGCGGCATGACTTTAATTTCTAAGTTACGTACATTAAATATATTTCGTTAACGGTGATCCTTCACCGTCCTCCAATCGTGATGAAAACCGCATGTTCACTGCTTCCTTAGCACCTGTGCTCATTAGTTGGACGTATAATATATTAAAGATGAAATTATAGTAATACATTTATTTAGCTCGTAATTTAAATAACAACGAAAATTGTAAACAGGTTTATTGTCCTATTAAGAATAAATGATCTGAAATCGGAATGCGTTCGCTTGACCCGCGTTGCGGGAATCTGTGCGCACCCTTATGGGGTAGTTAGACGCACGTGGGGTATATGAGTGCATTGCTTACTCATTGACAAATTAAATATAACAATAAAGTATTATTTATTTAAAAAACCTAAATATGTTTGAATTGTATTGTTGATATTACTTGCTACATGTAATACAAAAATATTAAAAATAGAAAAAAATCTTATTAATTACGGTGTGTAATTACACACCGGGCAAGGGTAGGTACGCATGCGCACACTTATCGCGCACTTTTAAATGAATAAATAATCGCATAATATTTGGAACCTAATATAACCTGAAACTTTTTTCGAAATATAACGTAAATCTGTTCATAATTAAAAAAAACAACTTATTTATTTAGTAAATGAAACTATTTTTCCGGATTTAAATCGCGTATATTTGTTTGACTCAACCACCAACCACGGTTTACTTAACCGTGACCATGGGACCTGTAAAGGGCCCGAAATGTCGGTTTGTTTGAAAAAACAAATATACGCAATTTAAATCCGGAAAAATAGTTTCATTTCCTGTGTGTAACAATCGACCGTAGAACACCGCATGCACAATAATCTGTTTATTTATTTGTTTTTTTACAAAATTTTAATATTGTATTAAAAAATTCTATTAAAAAAATACTTATGAAATAATACTCATTAAGAGAGTAAAGAGAATCTATAACTATTAGTGCAATACAAGTCCTTTAAGTAAGTTCAGAGACATAGTAGCCAAATCAGCTGAATAGTAATATTGCATATAAAATGTATACATCCGAGAGAGGGAACAGTGTAATCGGAGATTAGTGCGATGTTTTGGAATGCAAAACTACTTAAAAACCCCAGTGACTAATTTCTTCAAAAAAGCAAAGTCGTGCATTTTGCGTCTTGTTTCAAGCGTAGTAAACCCAAAATGGTTTAAACGATCTGTATATGAGTTGAGTTTGTTGGCCATATTGCAGCCGTAAGCTAAGTGATACATGAATCTTTTCTGAAGTTTCTCAATTCTTATGCTATGAACATTGTAGCACGGTGACCAGGCTACTCTGCAATACTCCAAATGACTCCTAACCAAAGAGTTGTACATTATAAATTTAACTGTTGGTTTTTTAAAGTTCTTACATTCTCTTAACACAAATCCGAGCGTTCTTGAAGCCTTTGCAACAATATTGTCGATATGTTTGTGAACTTAATCTTTTTATGAAAGTAAACGTATACCATCCAATTCTACAAGAGTTTCTCCCATAAAGTTATATTTAGTAGGTATAATGTATTTGTTTCTAGTAAATTTAACGTGATTGCATTTCTTAATGTTTAAAGCCATCCTGTTCCTTTTGCACCAACTTGTAAGCTTACTGAGATCATCCTGAAAAAGAGCTGAGTCAGTTAAGTCTTGAATAGACTTTATGGCCTTAAGATCGCCGCAAATAAATATATTTTTGAATCGAGAAAACATGTATAGATATCGTTGATAAACAGTATGAAAAGGTAAGGACCCTGTATGATTCTCTGAACGTCTAAGATTGGAGTATTATTAAGTAGAGTAGGATATAGAGTTGACGCAAACCACAGTATCCGTAATAAGTTGATGTATTAAGTAAAAAGTGTACAGTATAGTTTTGAATGCTTATCTGTGGCCGATCGCTAGTGCAGCGAGTTGTCAACTGTCTTTTATGAGCATTTACACGTGCAATATGTAGGTTGTTAAGTTAGCAAAGTATTGTACGGTGCAAAAAACCGTACAGACCCAAATGAGATCCTTGCGGAATGCCAGACGTTGCCGCGTAAGGATTTGAGCTAAAATCGTTTATCATTACACTGAGATTGCGCCTGGATTGATAAGAATCGAACCAACTCAGCAAGAGTCCCACTATACCGCATCTCTTTAACTTATTGATTAAGATACCATGATGCACTGTGTCAAACGCCTTGCTGAAGTCGGTATAAACCGCATCCACCCGGCATCTAATGCCTCCGCGAGATCTTCAGCGTATGTCGTTGAATTTGTTGCTGTAGACCTATTTTTCACAAAATCGTGTTGGCTGTTCATCAAAAGTAGAGACATATGCCAAGATAAAATTGGACAAATTATAGCTTCCAATACCTTTGCTAATGTAGAAAGTATTGCAATGGGCCTGTAGTTGGATACTATCGATTTGTCTCCACTCTTACAAACCGGAATTATTTTGGTATTTTTCCAAGCTACTGGAAAGACACCACTATGCAAGGATTTATTAAAGATGACTGTAATAGGAACTGATAGTCTATCGGCGTTACGAGATAAGAAAATTGGAGGAATGTTGTCAGGACCAGATCCTTTATTCAAATCTAAATCCTTTAGAGCTTTACACACCTGCATTTCCGTAATAGTTATTGTACTCAGCGCACTATTACTGCCGCAACCATTAGACTCGGTACACTTTACTTCCTCCTATGAGATGAAAGATACAGGTATTACATTGCTTGCTGAGATACAAAATCTATGAAATATAAACAACAAAAACAGATTTTTACTTAAAAAAGGTTTACCCGTGACCATGTGTCAAATCGGAACTAATTAGCCACTCAAGAGCCTTGATTTAACCCAAAACAAAATGCCTACCTCTCTTCCTCCGTTCCAGAGATATAGCTCCTAGCTATAGAAAGATTCGTCTCCCAAATTCTGGACAAAAATAAATCAATTTAGAGAGAAATATTGTGATGTAAGACGATTGTACAACGTGTCCATTTAGAAGGTGCGATAAATTTGTTTAGTCAGTAATTACGTTTGAGCCACTTCCTTTGCGTGAGGCTTATGACTTTTCTTCCTCGATTCTAATCTTTTCATAACGAATTAAACTGTAATCGCTTTACGGTCTATGTGTTCCGTCGACAATGTTTTTTGTAGAAGAACACACATTCTTTTGTAAATAACAACAGGGTCAGTGTAACAGAATCACGTTTTTGCATAGGTACGTATGTATATAAAAACGCTTCACGTCCTTTTCCTATCGGGGTGGCCAGAGATCATAGCCTTTCACTTTATTAGAAGCAGTAGGGCTCCTTGAGAAAGAGTTCGTCTTAGGAAGTACGGCCACCTTACCTATTTCTGCCGCCAAACAGTAATATGAGCATTGTTGCCTTGTTTGGTTTTGTTTTTTTTAATAATATCAAGTGACGGGACGAACAAGTCGTACGCCTGATGGCAAGCTACATGCCTGTCCATAACAAGTGCAGTGCCACTCAGAGCTTTAAATCGCAAAGATCTGCTGCCTCTGCGCCCGTCACCCAGAGACATAAGTTGATAAGTCCTATGTGCCAGTAATTTCACCAGGACCCTTACCCTTCAAAACCGGAACGCAGTAATGCTATCATTACTGCTTGGCGGTAGAAATAGGTAAGGTGACGGTACTACCCTGGACGAACTCTTTCGCAAGGAGCTCTACTGCTACTAAATCCTTTTAGTTTTGACCCTATGTAACAACTACCACGTCCACAGTCAATGTTGTACACGTCAGGTGTTGAGGTGATAAGACATCCTTGGCGTTACCCACCATGTTGTTTAAAACGGAGCCGATCTTGGCCGTTATTCCTTTGATATAGGGCAAGTAGGCTGGACGTCTACTCACAACCACAATATTTTATTGAAAAATAGCTTAGTAACACAAGGACGCCTTTTCTAGTATACAATAAGTAAATTGCTTTGATTTTGTTGGTACAGTCGGAACATAAAGCGCATTGTCAGCATTTCCACTAAACCTGTCATATATCATAAACATAATATTAGGAGATTAGTATTATAGCACTATAAACATTAATAAAACTTACCTGTACTTATGCATGCTACATCTGGTAGTCTTGCAGTTCCGAAAAAGTGTAACCTAAATCGTAGATATGACAACGCACATATCGAAGCGACAGTACCTAATCAATTGAATAGAAGGGAATGGCAAAATATTTGTATGCTTTCCTATTTAGTGTCTATTTGAAAGTTTGTACGATAACTTCGTTGACGGAATCAGTAGAATTATATTTATTACAAAACTCGCGGAAGAAGAAAAATATACACAATACAACCGTTACACGCGGGACCAGTACCCAATTGTTTCGATTAAGGCATAATTTTTATAAAGAAGCAATAAAAATGTCGTACATGGCGACCCCCGTTCCGTCGCCGCAGCCATCGCGCCGCTTGCACGCCTCGCCTGCGCCCTCACGTCATTCCATGCGCATATCTACGGATCTTATGAAAAAAGACACTGATTTGGACGAAGAACTTGAGGTATAGCTGTATGGCTTTTTCCTGGTATTAAACTTGGTATTTCAGTGTGCATATGCGGTGCCACGAGGCTAGCTGCCATCATGCTCTGAGTTGCTGTCGATTTGCAGAGAGATTTCCACGGCAGCATACCTTATACGCAATCATCCGTCGGGCTCTAGTTTCAGCAAATATTCCATGCGTGCTGGAACCTCCAGCTCTCAGTCAACCAGATGGGAAAAGACCCGACGGAATGACTCTGGTACCGTTTGAGATGGGTAGGTGTCTCCTGTGGGATGCAACATGCGTTTGCAGTTTCGCATCTCAGTGGCATAGTCACTTCAGCTGGTGCAGCGCCTAAGTCCGCTGCTCTCAAGAAACGAGACAAATTTCGGGATTTGGAAATTCGTTACATTTTAATTCCGCTTGTTATTGACACGGCGTTTTGGGGTAGCGATGCGATATAGTTTGTAGCGGAAATCGGGCGACGGCAAAGAGAGAGTGGAGATGACTGCCGCGCCTGGTTATTCTTGGCGCAAAGATTGTCCATTGCCACACAGCAAAGAAATGCGCCAAGCGCGCGGATCAGTCAGAGCGGGCTTTTTAATAAAACATCGAATATGTTTTTCAGTGTGTAATTGAAAAATATTATTCGTGAAATTTTTCAATACTTTAAAATAGCTATACCTGTTGCACTGGTGAGGGAACTTTTTTTACCTTTGATAAATGTAACCAAAGGTACAAATCATATCGAGTTCTTAGGTTTTCGCGATTGTTATACCTACACATTGAAAATTATGCTTTTTTTCTCGGATGTAAATCAAGTAGGTATATATTTCTTTTATTAAACAAACTGAGTCAGCATTTAGTACGGGACCTCTAAAGAGCCCCGTTTGTTTAAAAAAAAATTATCGAATCTAAGTCCGAGAAAAAAAATGGTTTCATTTTCAAAGATACTTAAATTCGTATTAAGTTGGTACCTATCGTTGAAATGGTCTGGGGTTTTGGCGAACAACAGGTATACTTATCATAAATATATATACAGTCGGTGCAATCCCTTAAGTATCCACAATTTGTACTAAATGCTATACAAATAGTGGATACTTAAGTGAGGGCACCGACTGTACATAATATAATTGTTTGCTGTTGAACAACAGACTGACTGACTGAAGAATCACCTGTTTAACACTAAATCAAATAAAAATCAATTGAAATTTATGTGATTCAGGACACCCGCACGAAATTGGACCCTTCCTTGGTGGAGCACACGAGTGTGATGCGAGGCGCTATCCCGGTGCTGCCCATAGCTCTCGCCTTCATGTGCTTAGTTTGCAACGTGCTCATACCTGGCCTTGGTAAGTCCTGTATCGGAATTAATCATCATTATTCGAAACTTCTCCAGGGCCATAGACCCAGGAGACTAAAGTTCCACGAGAGGCAAAACGTTTCTTGTGTGTTGTGTGTGTGTTTAAATTAAACAAAACATAGGCGACGGTTACATCGTATCAGGTCAATTGACTGAGTTTTTCCCGGTTTAGAAACAATAAACAATGTTTTCAAGTACGTTTCGCAATAATTAATAATTTGATTTGCTAGTACAGGCTACACTGTGTACATTCGAGGTGTCTTTCAAAACTTTCCACAATCAAATTTTTAATTAAAAGATAACAATGTTAATGTCATATTAAAAAAATTCTCGCTGCCTTAATTATTATTATATATGTTGCTAAATGCCTCGGTGGCCGAATGGTTACCATCCTGGACTGCCACGCAGAGGTCTCGGATTTGATTCGAGGATGAGAATGAGAAATAATGGAATGGCCTACATTTATTTCTCTCGTGAGTTTGGTTGTAATATGTGCTTGTCTAAGTGTGTACCCGCGACAGTTTTCTAGCTAAAAACATAAATAAAAAAGAATGTTGCCATATTTATTGTACAGTATTTGATTCAATTATCAACGAAGTCACAGAAACAGTCATTAGGAATATTAAATATTTTCGACTATCTTTCTCTTTATATATATTATTCCATCATTTTTCTGTTATCAAATATTTGCTTCTTTTTTAATTAATGTGTACAATCTTTTTGCTGCCTCCTCGTCGTTAGCCGCTCTCCGGCATTCACCAAATGACTCTGTGATCCCATCTCTATTGATGCATACGACAGGTGTGCCCATTCCAGTCCCATTTCAGCTTGGCGGTCCTTTTTCGATAATCGACTACGAGTGTCTTCGAGCGCAGAGTAGTGTTCCGGGATTCTATACATCCTCTTTACACCTTTACATGGCTCTTTCGCAAACCTTGATCTTGGACCAAATTTTCGATCAGGGACCGTGTTTGAACACCGCCGGAGCTCATCCTGAGGGCAGGATGGTCATGCCGACGAGTTTTCGCTTAAGTGTGATTGGAAAGTTTCCCTTCAAAAGCTCTTTTATGGACCAGCAGCTCTCCTTGAGAGCTTTATCTTTCACGTAGAAATTATTAAGATATAATTTACCTTGATGATCCATTGAGTCAGTGAGTTGACCCTTTAGGACAACACTATTTTTATTACATCAAAGACTAGCAACCCACTACCGGTCATATGAAAATATTTTGGTTTTGTTAAAACGTTGGTTATTGGTTTCAGGTACAATATTTAGTGGCATGTTCTGCCTGTGCTTTGGTATACCAAGATTCGGTGTTCACGACGGAGCTAAACATAGAATAGGTATGTTTTGTACAAATCACCTTCAATACCAAAATATTACATTAAAATAACTAATAAGAACTCCACGATTTGGTTTTCGCTTTTAAAGACCCCTTCGGTCACAAAGTTTGAATTGGGTCTACTCCTTCCAGGTTCATTCTTTATCAACTTACTGGTTGGATGTGGGCAACTCTTCACCGTGCTGTTCTGCCTGGTGGGGTGGGGATGGTCCATCTGGTGGGGTGTCATTATTATCAAGATATCACGTAAGTACAGGTTTCTTATGTTTCAACGAATATACACTACCGAGATGAAATTTGGATTTTCAATAACCTAAAATAAAACACAACGAAGGCCCACGATGGGCGCCAGTTTTCCTAAATAACAAACAATTATAAATTTGATGATATTTCAGGTAAATACCGCAAACTAAAAGCAGAAGCAGCAGCCGAAGAAGCCGAAGCAGCTGAGGCAGCAGCGCCTCCAATAACGGCTAACAACCACACATAATCTTTACATAACCTTAATGAAAAGCATATTAATTAGTACTGACTACAAATGAGTGAAAGACATTATATGGATCCATGAATCGGATTTTAACGCGTTCTCGGGCCTCGCCCTCACAACGTAGACTGCCCGTATAATACCTGTGTAAGTGTTAGCCAGAAGTCCAGAAATAGTTAAGATCTTGGCAATAGCCAATAAGAATAACTGGTGAATAGCGGCACACAATTACACGTGAAACCTTTAATAAAATATTGAAAATTACACCTAATTTTACCTAAGTTCGCGGTCCATTCTTTAGTAGCGATTGGTAGACAGAAGATGTAATGAGACAGAAGAAAAGCATAAATATCTGCCTTCCTTCGATTAAATTTGGACACACGTGTAAAATGTGTGACGAAAACTTTTAACTAAACTAAACCAGTCATGATTAGGCTGTTTGCTCTCAAGTACAGAAGCTGGCGACGCGGTTCCATTCTTAAACTTCTTTAAGGGGCCATTCTGCACTGTAGTATTCACGCCTTGAATAATGCTGGTTGAAATTGGATAGGTCTCTAGTTTTTTTCATAGGAGACCGAAACGTCGTTTTCAATTGTGATTTGAACTTCTGACCGCTGATAAACAATAATTTATAAATAAAATTATCAAAAAATAAGTCGAAAAGACGTAAAATTGAAAATTATCTGCTGGTCAGACATAAAACAAATTGTTACCATGAAATGCATGGTTTTGAAATTTAACTTCCATAACGAAGTTTTCCGGCCCGTAGTGGTCTTTTTAAAATTGTAGTTTTTAATGTACACCTGAATATTGTGTCTTAATTTGACCAAGGTGATATCATATTCTGAATAGCTGCATCTCGATTACAGCAGTTTGTTGCGTTTGATTATATTGCGAAGCATTCGGCTTGGTACCGACAAGGTATGCCTATGTAGCAAACCTACCTCGCACTTCAGCGGTCATTTGCAGGTGATGAAGGAACTACGGAACAAGTACGGGACTGTCTCATGTTCCTCGCTGCGCGAACGAGATGCGTATGCGCAACAACCGTGCGCGCAAGAAAGAAGCCTGTTTCGCCAGCGTGCAGGTTGGAGCGCTAAGTTTTGTGGTCCAATTTCCATAAGCGGAGCGGGAGCGTTTAGGCTGTAAGGTGTTGGCCCAAGGTAAACCGTTGGCACAAAGTAATCTACATCTTTTGCTCTGTGTGTTTGGAGCAACCGCCGCTGCAACTCTTTCAAGCCTTGATCAAATTAAGACCACAAATTAAGCCCCAAGTGCTTCAAAAAGTATTATACACAATCATGATTATACGTAAGAAAAATGTACACAAGATAGAAACTTACACTATCTTTAAGAAACAAAATTTTTCAACTTCTATCTTGTGCTGTAGTTATTAAATACAAAAAAACATAGACTTTAAGACCTTTTTGTATATGACCAAATAATAAGAATAACTTTTTTGACATGTAGAATTCACTAACTTTTTAAATGTAGAAGTAACTGTAGACCTTTGACAATATTAACTATTGATTTAATTGTTAATAACATTCATTATTATTTAATTAATTTAGATTTATCGGTTAATTGAAAAGTTCACCAATTCGGTTGTGAATTTAAAAAAATAATATGTTTGTGACGAATGAATGTAATTCATGAAATAAATTGTAACTAAATCGGCGCTATGCGAAAGTACTAATAACTATACTTGGTGTCGATATTTCTGAAACTAACATTGTTTAATATCAATTTTTACTCCTAGACTTTAGACTAAAAGGACAAGCAAAACTGGTCGATTACGTAAATTTAGGCCCGTATTGATAAATACATATAAAAACTGGATCGACATTAATCAACTACTAATATATATAATATGATTAATATATATCACCCGAGTGCATATCGACTATTACCTTAACTGCGTATCATTGAGAGTTGTCAAAACGTGCACGTCACCACCATCATCATCGTCAACCCACTAATACGTCCCACTGCTGGGCACTGATCTCCTCTCAGGCGAAGGTTTAAGCCATAGTCCGCCATGCTGGCCCAATGCCGGTTATGACTTCGCACATTTTCTGAGGGTTGTGAACTTTCTTCAGGTTTCCTCACGATATTTTCCTTCACCGAAACACTCTAAATATTTTTAAAGTTAATTACGCACTTAAGTTCCGAAAAACTGAAGAGGTGGACCCGGATTCCAACCCACGGCCTTTGCATAACAGGCAGTAGGTCAAACAATTATTCTGCCACGGCTTCTACGTATTTACAAAACCAATACTTAAACTACGGCTCTAGGATCCTTGTTAAGTCCCAAACAATTAAGTGCCTTAGTCTTGCAAGGGTAGATGCCGATGATTAAAATGGGACCACTATGGAGGTGTCCTCTTTCCAACAAAAGAAAAAAAAAGAAAAAAAAAAGAATCATGAAAATCGGTTCACAAATACCGGAGTTATCGCGTAACATACATACAAAAAAAACACAGTCGAATTGAGAACCTCCTCCTTTTTTTGAGGTCGGGTAAAAACGGGAAAGTTTCAGATCAATTTCCAGACCAGAGAAGCTGTTTAATAATACGGGCCTTATTGATTAATGTAATCATATGTGTTTACGTTTATGTAATGATTATCATAGAAAAACATAAGGGTGCGTACATATCCGGCGAGTGCGCCGCGAACGCGCTGCACGCGCGCTACTCGCGTGGGATTAAATACATGTAAATTTATGTGGCGCGCGAACAGATCGCACAACGTTAAAGCCATAATTACATTTGTCTCGCGTGTCGTGTCGTGACGCGTCAGAACGGTATCTGTTTCATACACCCAGCACAAGCCGTTACGTCAGATTGCGATACACTAATATAAATCCAACCATATTAAATGTATGAGACCGATACCGTTCTGACACGTCACGACACGACACGTCAGACAAATGTAAATCCGGCTTAATGCACGTGTGCAGCTCGCGAGCCTATCGCAAACAGGCGCATTTGCGGCGCTTTCGCCAGATCTGTAAACACCCTAAACATATGTACAATACAGCAATTAGATTTGCGATTGCTACACATTGGAAATAAAGCTATTTTAAAACAGTCAAAGACCTGTAAACAATTCGAAGCATGGGTTAGTTTCAAAAAAAATGTACGCAATTTTGCATCCGAAAAAATAGTTTAATTTCTGAAATATACAATCTTAACAATTTCACAGTAAGTATAGTAACAATCGACACCGTAAGTTGCGTTAATTTTAACGAGTTCTTCCAGTACAATGTTTAGTCACTAAATTTTATTAGGTTATTTTAACGTGTTGCCTACACCGACATTTTAGAAAAAGCGTTTGTTGTTGTAAATGGTGTTTTAAAAACCTGAAATGAAATTAACAAAAATACATCAATTTCTTTGATATTCCGCCAAAGTAAGTACCAAAGTACCAAGTACTCCGCAACTGGTTTTGATTGCCTAAATACCACGTAACGGCAAAGAAAAAATAAATAATGCACTAAATAAATAGCTGGTGTGGTGTAGGTATAGTTTTTAGTTAATTTACATTCAATAAATTATATTATAGTTGCTTGTACAATGATTAATCAATAAACAATTTACTTTGAAGCCAATCTGTTTTAATTTTTAATATTTGTCAACCTTTACGTCTATCAGCTGGACTGTACGAGTATGTCATGATGTGTCGTGTCATGATCAACTGCATGCAGTCGAAACTTCGGAAAGCTGGTAGCAGTAGAGCTCCTTGTGAGAGTTCGTCCACGAAAGTACTGCCACCTTACATATCTCTACCGCGAAACAGTAATGTGAGCATTACTGCGTTCCGGTTATGAAGAGTAAAGGTGACAAGCGCAGTGGCAGTGCCCCTGTAGTGGTATTGCAACTGTCATGGATAGGCGTTTCACTTACCACCAGGAAAAAACCTTTTATAAGAAAGACATTTTTGAATGAACGTCAATTTCGAAAATTCCAAACTAGTGCCGTCTCACTCACGCTGCAGGTGCTTTACAACGGAAAGAGACACGAACAAGTTTGTCGTTGGGCCTTCATTCGGTAAAACTATATACCTATTCAAAACAATCCGTTTAAGCCCATGAAACGGGGTAAAGTATATTTGGGAAAAGATTGGGATGCATTCTCCGATTCCTTCCGCTATGCCTATGTGCTGGATGATAGCGAAGATAAATAACAAAACTATAGACAAGTCCGTCATTGAGACAACACAATTGGAATTAAACCGCTGTGCTATCTAGATTATTGTTATATGCTATCGCAGCGTGTCTATTCCAGTGTGACCATGGTGGAGTTTTTTCAATTTGATTAGCCAGATCAAAAGTCGCGATTAAGTCGGTTCCAGTCGCTAAAAACTAGATATAGTCAGTCCGCCGTTCAAAAGTTATACCTAAGGGTGTTTCAATGTCCACGCTGGAATAAGCTTATTCCAGCGGCACCGTTTCTCAATCTCGAGAACCACAACACCTAGGTTAGCTCTGATTACACTGAAAAAGTCGATATTTATTAAGTTTTAATTGTAAAAAACTAGGTTTAGTCATTATGCTGTTTTAAAATTATTAAGGTGTTTTACTGTCCACTCTGGAATAAGCTTATTCCGGCGGCACCATTTTTCGATCTCGAGAATCACAGCCTGTCTTTGAAGGGGTCAAATGCTAGTCAAATGTAAATGAAAAACAATAATGTATATTTTACAATATCACTTTATTACAGGTCCACGATGTAATAATAAATAGCGGGTAAAATCTATGCCTGGCTACAAAATATTTGATATATTTCGTTCTACTATCTACTGATTATTAAACCTTCGATCAATACTGGCTGACTGACGACAAATCGTGCTAAATCACCAGCTGCAGTAAACCACATTTTTGTCATAACTCAATACACCGTATTTTATTGAATTTTCAAAAGCGAACGTTTTTGTTATTCATGAACGAAATTGACCACCACATAGCATGGTGAGTCACAAACACCAGAAATCACGTTCAAGAGGATCATATACCACATATATCTCTTAGAGGGGTATACGATCTATGGACTATCCACAAACAATGACGTACGAATCGTATGCCTAGTAGCCCTTGGTAACAATCTGCGAGTACATTAAGCAGATTGGCTAATAATTTTTCCACGATGGCAAACATATCCCATGCACAGTTCAGCATGGCTGCTACTTGTGGCGTGATCAAGTTCTGGGCCGCGATGGTATAGTGTATGTCATTGATTCCTATAAGATGAGATACTCTATCAGTATTTTCAAAGAGGTATGTCTGTTCTGCACACTTTTGACCTTGAAAATTCAGGAATGAGTTTCGAAAACTTGTAGCACTTAACATTTCACGTTAAACGTTAACGTCTAGCTGAATTTGAAAAGACGGGTAGGCGGTTGGTCTTTTTGGACATACTCAATCTGTGATCCGTGAAAAGCAGAATCCAAGGTTAACAATTTTTGCAGCCAGTAGCCATGATCGAAGTTCTCATATTATGTATTTTTCACGCAATACAGA